TTCTTATATTCTAATTCTATTCTATTCTATTCTATTCTATTCTATTCTATTATATTATATTATATTATATTATATTATATTATATTATATTATATTATATTATATTATATTATATTATATTATTATGTATGCATGTAGATGTTAATGTGTGTATATTCTTGGAGCTGGGATGCTTTTGACAGTAAGCTCTATATGACGTATATACCTTCAACAGAGCGATGATTGGAACAACCCCCAAGCCTGTCAGATACTGGACAGCGAACCCACTCTGGGACATCATAAGTCCTAGAAGTGTTCGGGCCAAGAATTGCGGCAGGATCTGCTCCAGTATTTTTTCGCGAGCATGCGCTCCTTGTCTGTTTGGTGATCTTTCGAAGCGAAGGTCCTGCAGTATGCCAGATTCGCGACCCGTGTGCTCTAGTTTGCTGACTTCTCAGAGACCGGACTTCGAGCCAGAGGCGACACTAAATCTTGCCCCCCGCAACGGGCTGTTGTTCGTCGCAACATGTCAAGAACGCTTGGAAAATATACCACAAACCTCAAATCCAACGCCTGGAAGATTTACCACAGCCACAAATCAGTTAGGCAAGTATCATAGCAGGACCCTCGAATCGAATTGATGGCCGTTGTGCAAAGCCTTTCGTGGAGTGCAGAGGTGGTGGCGGCAGGGAGTTCCGGGGTGAGTCTGGCGAATTGTGATTTCAAGTCCAGAAAAGTAGATTGCGGCAGAAAGGGCCGGAAGGTCAGCGAAATGTAGGCTTTGCAGAACGTGCGTGCACTTCGGGGTTCAAGGTTCACATATTATATGTATGTATGTATGCATGCATGCATGCTTGTACGTATGTATGTATGCATGAATGTATGTATGTATGTATGTACGTATGTATGTATGTATGTATGTATGTATGTATGTATCTATATATACCTCTCTCTCTCTCTCTCTCGCTGGCGCTCTCCCTCTCCCTCCCTCTCTCTCTCTCTTTCCCTTATGTGCCTGTACATGCAAGTGTTTCATAGTGATTATTTTCAAGAAGTATTCGACCTCGGGGTTCGGGGGCCTGACGGGATTCAGGGCTTCGTCCATTGCAGTCCCTGTCCAAGACAGAGTTTAAGGGGCCCGGGGCTCTGCTGAAACTCAAACCTTGGGTTGAGTCTTGATATCAAGCCTTTCCCGGGGTCCGACTCGAAGGCAAACACCATACCTTGAATCCACGACTTGAAGCCTTAAGCCTTAAACAGCACGTCCCAACATCATTGGCCTGCCCCCCAAGCAGTCCACAAAGGATCAACTCTGCGCAAAGCGCCGACCAGCGACAAGGTGAATAATGTTGAGGGGAGAAAAAGTGCATCGATTGTGTCTGGCAGTTGTGCTGATCAATACAGCTGCTTTCATCAACGTTTGCGATCGTCTGGACGGGTGCCGTTTTGGGCGCCCGCCAGCAGAAGCAGTAACAAGTGCAGTGCTGCCATGGTCGTAGCCATTCCTTCGTCTCTCCCACCAGTCACAGGACGTGCAAGTTGTAGACTGCATATACCATGCGCCCAGCCTGCAACAGCAGCAGCTCACGAGAGGCAGGTGTAAGGTCAGCAAAGTGCATCTCGCGCGCTCATCGTATTCATGTGCAGCAAGTCGTGCCAACCTTGAAAGGGCCAGGGTCTCTCAGTTCGCCGAGGCCGAAAGCCTCCATCGCCAATGCCCTGACCGGAACAAAACAACCTCCACCTGTACTACACCTGAAACCCTGCAATCAGAACGCCATGCCAGCTTTGAGCGAGTGTGTGAGTCGAAACCCTGCAATCCCGCTGTGCACCTGTGCCCTCAGCTCGAAGCCGAAAATCCTAAACCTCTAGACGTCATAAACCCTGACGGTACCAGAATCCGACACCCTCATTAACATTATTTCCACATTCCTTGGTGCTTTGCGGTTGCTGTGGGTGGTGGTTGATGGCATGGCTATCTCCTTTTCTTTGGTGCTAGAGGTGGTCGTGGTGGCCTGGAACTCGATACCCCAGTCTGAAGGTCCACCTCGGTGGAAGAGAATCAATGAATCAGGGGCCAGGGTCCAGGCAGCTCGAGTTTTTGAAGACGTCGGCAGCCGTTAGTTTGTTGATGTGGCGCTGCTTGCGGCTAGCATGCAAGAGTGCACTAAACCCGCGCAAGTCGCCCCCATCCCCGGGCTCATTCTGACACATCAAGATTTCGCGTGTCGCGATGACCTAGCTTGAACTCCGACGACCCGAAGACAGCCGAGATCTGCATGTTTGGACTCTTTGGAAGCCAACTGCAGCATCTGCGCGGTTAGCAGCAGCCGAAGCTCGAGAACTGAATTTCAATAAGGCTTTCTGGAAGTTCAGAACGCGTTGGTGGGGCTTCACAAGCTGTTTTGCAAGGATCGCGGGCTTTGGTTGTACATGCCCAAGTATCTGCATGTCTTGTCCGCTGTAGTCTCTTTACATGTGACTCCAGATGGTTCCTCATTCCTATGACGAGCACTACTGTAGAGCTTCCACGTTTCGAATATTTTAAGCTAGGCCCAGAATCCTCAATGATCCCAGAAAGCTGACACCGTGGGCGGCCCGAACAATGGAAACCTGCGCATCCTTCCACCATCAGCCGCCGAACTCTCATCTTGAATCCTAGAGTCCTCAAGTCCTGGACTTGAAAACCCTGACCCTTTCATTTTCACTTCATCAGACTGTGTCTCCGGCATGTGAGAGCAGACACTGCCGCAATGGTTTAGTGCTTGGGCGCCTTTGGCGGATGTGTGCTTCCTTGGGAGGGCTGCCGGGGACTCGGACTTGATGACCGTGTCTTCAATGCTTCTGTTCGAAATTGTGTAGTTTTGGGAAGGCCTGTTTGGAACGGGTATTCCGGGTGTTGCAGGATTGATAAACCGACTGCTGTACCTGGAAAGGCGGAGCATACATTGAATGTCTCTTCGAGGCGATGTCGCCGGCGAACGATTATGTAACCGTCCCTGGTACTACTGTCACTGTTTCTGTTGGTTGCGACCATTGCAAGCCCCAAACCATGGCTAATATTACTAGTTTGGCAGCTGTTACTCACGGCCCGTGCTACTTAGTAGTGTCAAGCAGAATGGCTGCTTTTACTGTGGTGAACAGGTACGCTGCCTTTCCCTGTGTTAGATCGCTGCTGCCAGTCCTTTCAAAGAGACGAGGCTTGTAGCATTGCTAGGGTCGCTCAAAATACTGCTGCTAGTGACTGCACCCGCCGGATAAACTCGTCTGTGCTAGTTTTGCGCGCACCCTGGGAAGTCGTAAGTACAGCCATTGAGGCTACTGGTTCGATGGTTGCTCGTAGTATTATCTTTGCTGTGAGAGCTTCGTAAGGTTGGGCAGTTGATGAGGTTGGAGGGTCCATCACTCGGTGCTGAGTCGTTCTCGCCCACTGTTGCCGTCGGTCGCAAGACGCCCACAGCCTATCACAGCCTCAAAACTCTCCAACTTAGGCCGGGTTCGATGCCAACGCCCGGTCCAATGCTAACGCCGCCCACCACGCTGGCAGTGGGAGTTCGAAGCTTCGTGCTGCTTTTCGGTTCAATGAAGTTTCGAGATCTAAGGTGTACTGGGGAAGGTTTTCCTAGTGGCATTTTACGATTTCCTTAGACCGTTCCTACTGCGAAGGCACAGGCCCTAGCAAGACGAGATGCTGGTAATGACTCTGAGCCACACCCGGACATGGCTAGAGACATTTATCTTCGGGAGTGTGTCGTTGGGGCTAAAACCTGGAATCGATTAGGGTGAGATGAGCGTTGATGGAAACGGAAAAGGAAATGCCACTCGGAAGAGTTGCAACAACTAGTCATCAGTAACGTAGAGCTGCACACAAGGGCAACTAGCGATATACCATACTTGCACAGGTGCAGTGGCAGTAGCAGTAGCAGGCATATTTGTAGCATTACCTGCGCTCGTGTTAGCCAGCCCAGAACTGTAGTGTTCCACCGTCACTCAGTGACAAGGCTCGGGTTTCAATAGTTGCAAGCAAAGTGGGTACTGATCGAGGCATCCTGAAGCTCAGAGAAAAACTGCAAAGGTTTTGACATTTCCCTAATTCAAGCGACAGCTCATATCGACGTAAAACACGAGCCGCCTGCCGCCTGCATCTAGCCGTTTTGGCTCAGGTCTCAGTTGATTGCTGCTAGCCTCAACTCCGCAGCCATGCAGAGCTCGTCCGTCGTGATGTGTTTCTCCCTCCAGCTTGTGTTGCTTGCGCCGCGGGCGTTGGCAGAAGCCTCGGTGCCCATGCTCCGCGGCCTCACGCGCGGCCCAGCCGAGCTTCCCAGCTGTACAGAGAAACCCAACTTCCACTTGGCACGTGCTTCGTGGTGTGGGGAGCAGAAGGAGCCCATGGCATGTTCCAAGGAGGTGGACAGCCCCAACCCTATCTGGGACTGCCACCTACAGGCCGATGGTTGGTGCTCCTTGGGTGGCAGCCCTTGTGCTTGGCCTGAAGGAGCTCCGGCCAGGGAGGTGTCCAGCGACTGGCAGAACCAGAACTCCCAAGGTCAAGCGACGCGCTTTGTCACCTGGAACCTCTACGTCTTCACATTGGCCGGCCGTATCCATCCTGTCGTGGACGAGCTTCTGCGAATGCAACCAGAGATCGCAGCCATTCCAGAGATGTGGCACGAGAAGGGTGCCATCCTGGATCTGCTCAACCAGAGGTCCGGCAGCGTTTGGGCCTTTGCCACAGGAGGAGCCACCGAGCAATTCAATGATGCAGACATCTTGTTCAGGACTGACAAGTGGGAGCACATTGCTAGCGACCTTGTTCCGTTCTCGGCAGGGCGTGCTATTAATTGGGCAGCCTTGAGGCGAAAGTCAGATGGCTACACGCTTATTGCATCTGGGACACATCCCCTTTGCTGTCAGGGCGACTACGTCATCACAGAGGCTGTCGATTTCGTGACCAAGACCCTAAGTCAGGTGCAGAACCGTCATCCGTACCCAATCGTCCTCATGGGGGACTTGAACACCGGCTACTTCCAGCCTTCGCAGCAGCTTTTGAGACAAGGGCAGGTTGAGGCCTTTGGGCGCCATTGGCAAATTCCAATGACGTTCACAGATGCATGGGCCGAGCTTCATCCCGGCAATCCGGACCCCTCCACGATCAACGATGACCCGGTGCGACTGGATTATGTGTACTTCCAGAAGACGCCGCTTTCCGTGGGCCAGTCCATCGTGCAGTCTCAGATATGGCCGCGAGCCGCAGGCAGCGACCATCGCGCGGTCTCCGGGGATGTTGTGCTCAACCGGTGAGGAGCTTGCTGAGTGCAGCTCAGTTGTGGCTGCCCTAATCCATTGTTCCATGCATTAAATTCGTATCTTGGAGAGACTGCCCCTGTATGGCAGCTGTCTAGCCGTCTGCTCTGGAGGAAAGCTCCTTAGCATTGACTCTGCATCAAACGCTCCTGGCCATGTTGCCGACTAGGTTTTCGTGGGTTTTGAGTCTGCCCCATCTCCGTGTACCAGTTCATGTCAGATATCGAGTCTGAGGCTCGCAGGGTGAATGTAGTTGGGCCGGGAGCATCAATGGAGGAGTTTCGCACGAAAAGCCTTCCCAAATACGAAAGAACTGCATGCCCAACTTGGGCTCAATTCGGTCTTTTGATTTATCGCGATCGGTGATGCACTGGAGCTTCGGCTCCACAACTCTTTGTAGGCAGCGGAGCTCTCTGACCTCGAGATCCTTGCTTGGTCTGATCTGCAGAGGTTTTCTTTGTCGGTCTAGGTTGCTGGATCTCGGGAGGAAGGAAGGCCCAGCGCCGGCTGAAGTTTTGTCGCATAGAAGCAGCTGCACACCTGGTGTCAGCTGTGATCCAACACAGAAGTTCATGCACATATGTCAAAGGTAGGGCTGCGGGAGTCTGTATCCTTCCTGTTGACATGAAGAGGGATAGACCGGGATAGAAGTTAGGCTTGCAGATGGAGAGGTCCTCTTGCAAGGGGCCCTGTGTGGACACTCTGGCACCGAGACCTCCGTAAACTAGTGGGTGCAAGGCGGAGAGCAGCGACTTAGATGGCTACATGTTCAGCTCGCGGTTCCCATTGTTTGGCATAAGCCAGAAGCCCAGCGGAGCACGGAAACTCGAAGAAACAGAAGCCTTCCGAGGGAGCAGCATTTCACCTTCGAGTATGACGTCGGCGTCTGGGCCATGGGTTCAGTTCAAGTCCTGAAGGACCGAGACTGCGGGACTTGGGAGGGACATGCCGGGATGCTTCAGTCAAAAGAGCAGCTACCCTTTTTCACGGGGAGCCCCGTCCTGTCGAATCGCAGCCAAGAACCTTAGAGACCTGCTGGGCCACGTTGGGGCAGATTTGGTTGAATTTTCAGGTCGTCGAGAGGGCCGAAAGGGTCTGGTTTCCGAGCTTGGCCCTGTTCAACCCCATCAGTCCAAAGTGAATTGCCACCATCCTGCATTCCACTTTTCAAGCAAACGCTTGGTGATGCCAAAGGACCGCCGATCCGGGGTTCTCAAAACGTGCCCGGCTCAGAGCAGCACTTCAGCACCAACACAAAGGCCCCCTATCCGTGACCTTATCCCCGAGCCTACGACAGCAGCCTCTGCAGCGGCAAGGGCATTGGCAGGGTAGGTGGCAGGCAGCCACAGCCTCGTCGTCCTCCTCGCACGCTCCTTGTTGTCGGCAGGGGCTGCAGACGACCTCAGCAGCCGGCACCAGCAGGAACGGATGCAATCTTCATCATCATGCACGACCGCCAACAGCATCGCAGCAATCACCACCGCAACACCCACCGCCACCCCGAGGCTGCCATCAGGACCCGCACCATCATCGCCATCATCAGAAGCCCTTGTCGTCATCATGAAGAACACGCCCACCAGCATCACTGGCTTCCCTTTGTCGTCGTCACTTGTTGTTGCGGCTTCACGGAGGTTGCCCTCGTCAAGCTCAGGGCAGCCGTCTACCTTTTTATTTTAGTTAGCGGACCTGCAGTTGTGCAGTTGCGTGGCTCTAGTGGTTGGTGGTGGTGCTGGAGGTCGTCGTAGTGCTGCGACTGATGTTTCATTTTGGTGATCGGGTTTGAGAGGCTTTCTCCATTTACTTCCCGATGGGTACAGTGACTTTTCTCCTAGGGCCCAAAAGAACCCGAGCACGAGCAGAGTCTCGGGGTCTTGAATAGATGGAGCCACACAGTAAAAGAAATGGAAAACGAGCAGCAGTATTGTAGCTACTTTAGCTAGAAAGCCCTAAGACGACTCTAAGACACTGCTGCACGGGCGAGCAGAAGCACGCAATATACCGGGGTCATGTGCCATAAGATAGAGGGTGCCTGGCAGCCTCGAGCTGAACATGCTTCGAGGTGCCGCTTGAAAGACAGCAACCTGCGAGCATCAACGAGCGGTGGCTGCGTGCTTGTAAACATTCGCGAACATCCACATGTCACATGTGTCAGAAACCCTAGAACAGAGCTAAAAAACGCCGAAACACCACGACAAGACTGGCAAACTTTGCTTCTCGAACACAGGGTTCTGAAGCCGTTCTTGAAGTTGTTTGTAAGGGGTCATATTTGTCAGGGTTGCTACACTGTTCTGCGATTTCTAGCAAGGCAACGCTTTGTGATTGTGTTGTGATTAAATAGTTAGAGGTGTTCACCTTCTCATTCTGTACTAGGTGCCGCTCCATCTTCAAGCCGCGTCTCACGAATGTCTGGGCGGCTTCGCAGGAGCTTGCGAAGCTGATGCTCGGCCGGAAATGCAGGCGAGAGGTTAATCTGCATAACGTCCTCGCACTGGGATGCAGGGGTTGGATGTATTTTCAGAAGGGTGGTCGTGAGGTCAATCGTTGTGGTGACAACTGCGATGGAAAAGGTGCGACACTGCGTCCGGAGCATTACGAAGAATACTCTTTTTCGAAGGTGAAGAGTCCGATGCCCCGGAACAGTGTTTGATTGTCAAAAAGTGTATAAAAGCTCGCTGCCCATGAGTTTTGGGACGACCAGCCTTGTCAAAGACGTTGCGGTCCTGTTATGATTTGGGATTCTATTGCGATTCTGACCCTGGGTTTGGTGATCGTTGAACGTCGCGGTTGTAAGTTGTCACAGATACTTACCGGCGCGCACCTGCAGCACTGGTATACATGACCTGGGCACAATCTGGGCTTGGACCTGGCAATGGTTTTGACGCCAAGGTTCTATCAATCCAACTGCAGCAGAGTTCCTTGGGGCTCAAGAAATGCGTGTAGAGCCTGAAACGTATATTGCAATGTGTGCACTTGGCTTCGGAGAGTGCGTCTGGACGCTCAGAGGATGCCCGGGGAGCCTAGGAAGATGCTGCAGCACCCCATGCTCTCCGCTGTCACTGCACCTTTGCTGAATGGATCTGTGGAGTGCTCGGCCAGGAGCATGAGTCATCAGTCATTAAGTATGCTTTGTTTTGAGACTGTCGCACATGGGCTTACGGTGCTCGAGGTGGGTAGGGCATTTGGGGTATGGAATTGGCCAAGAAGTGGCATGCTCGAAGCATTGCGTTCGACCAGGGTGGGCTGAGACAGGGTGTGGTCAGCAGGTCAGTGCATGCCTCGTTCTTCCTGTTCGCAGGCCATGTTTTGCACGAGCAGCATATTAGCATTCATCAGTGCGCCTGGGCGAGCCCAATCGTCTTCAGCCTTCCCAATCCATCGGAACTGCAAAATGCTTGAGAGGATGAGGAGCCGACTAGCCGAAGCCTTCCGAACCCTGATCTCTCCAAGAGCATGCGGAAAGCTTGCACGTTGAGGCCTCCCATATTTTTCCCAAACCCTGGGAGATACGAGGACGTTTTGGAGGACTCTGAGTATCTGTTCGTCGTCTCGCTCCGTGCCAACGGGGGGGACCTGGCAGAATTCTTGGAGAGGCGCATCCCGTCGGGGACACGCATCTAAAGGAAAGACTTGAGGCAGGCAGCCATCTCAGGCCGTAAACTCACGGATGCGGGCGCTAACCTTTGAGCGCAGCTTCGCATTGCGGGTTTGATCTTTAGGCTTTGGAGTTTCTGGCTCGGAGAACGAAGCTTGAGATTGCTTTGGTGGGTGTGGGCCACTTGGGGAGATGAGGGCGATGCACGACGGCATGTGTTCTCAATGAGCGGCAGCTGCGCACAATACGGTTGCAGGATGGGATTCTTGTTTGTTTTGCTGTTTTGCTGTGGCTGTGCATCGTAGCCGCTTGAGCCTGGTCCTCGGATTACAGTTTTAGCATCTTTTGAACCTGAGGCCCCGTAAACCCTGATTCCCGACCGCTCGGCATCCTTGACCCCTCGCTTGGATTTCTGCATGGCCTTTCTTTCCCAGTCCCACATGCGACGTCCTTTTTTTTTGGCATTCGGGCCTGCAAGCCTTGTGCCTTATGCTAGCGTTACAGACTTTTAGGCACTATCATGCAGGGTCAGTGCGTGCCAACTTCCGCGACTGCAACCGCCGGCAGCTTCGGTTCAAAGAACCCAGCAGGAAGTCTATGATCGGAGCCTCATTGAATATTGTCGGATTGTCAGTAGCCTTGAAGCATGATCCCTAAACCCTAAAACCATCCTCGGGCTCGTCCTAGCAAGGTGGGAGGCAAAAAAAAACCATCCTCGCCGGCATTGCCCGAGTCGCGAGAGTCTAGACCGTCCCGAGTGCGCCGAAACCCTAAAGATCTCCAAGATATCCTTCCGAGCCTCGGTTCCAGAGATGCCACTACCCTGCCACCCTGAGCCCGGAGCCCGCAAGATTGAATCCCGTGCGAAGAACTATGGACTTTCGACTCCGAAACGGTAAAGGTTCAGCCCTTATCCTGGGATGTCGATTGGGCTGGCCTGGAAGCTATTTCGGTTGCCCAGCAGAAGCTTTCAACCCTGAACCCCTGAAGCCTCAACTCCTCAGCCCTACCTCCTGAAAGCACCCCCGTCAGTCAAGATCCCAGCCTGCCATGACGGCTCCAAACACGGGCTGCCTCTTCTGGGAGCTGACTCTTGAGGCGGGAGCATCGTTGCTGCTACTGGGCGATCAGTTGCTCCCGGTGCCAATACCAAGAAAGCGGTGCGTGCCAGGATGGTGATGAAAAGAAGATCACAGTTTTTTGACAGGACGATGACAGCGAAGATGACATTGGTGGTGATGACATTGATGTCGTGGTGCTGGTGGTGGCGACTCTGGAGGTTGTGTTGAGGGGTAGGTGTGGCGATGGTGATGGCAACGCCGAGAAGCAGTATCTCCAGTGGCCATGAGCAGGAGCAGGAGGAGAGGGACGAGCCGACGGAAAAGACAATTCGCAGAGCATTTAAATGAATTGAAGTTGTTGCACAAAGGTGACTCTTGTGATAGCCTTTGTCGCCAGCAGCAGTATCACCACCACCACACCGTCACCATGAATGAGGGCCGATTTGAGGGCCTTTGATGACGAGGGCTAGCTGACAGAGTGATGGTAGATGTGCAGATGCCACAAACCTGCAGGAGTTTGAGGTGAATTCTTGTTCAGTCCCTTGGCACTCAGCGCAGGAAGAAGCCCGGGATCCTCTTGCAGGGTTTGGGGGCCATGGCAGCTGGTACGAGATCGTCCCTGCGAAGGACCTGGGCGGCTCAAGCAGGAACAGGGATTTCGGAGAACACCAGCAGCTGTTCACGGTTTAGGGTTTGCAACAACAAGGTCTGAGCGTGACCTCCTTGGATCCTTTTTTGCCCACTTTCCGCACACCCTAATCTCGAAACCCGGAAGCCCGTCATCTCTCAAATGAACCAAAATGACATGCCCAGGACGACCTACTGATATTTGAGTCGTCTCGCCGCTCTACATTGCTTAGGTGCCTCGTCGGAGGGTGTAGGCTGTAAGGGTGCTAAGAATTTTTGGGCATCCAGGTTTCCAGAGTCGAAATGTGCACCGGCGCAGGTACACACACACACACATGCACGGGCACAAACATACATACCCATAAAAATACATGCAGACACACCTGAAATAAATGAACCAGATAGAAGGTCAGTAAGCTGGCTGTTCGAACCCTTCCAGCCACTTACATTGCGGCAGGTATATTCGCTATTAATGCCTATCTACGTACAGAGCAGTATTACGGCACAGTAGCATCGATAAGTGTTAGAATAAATAGAAGTCCAGGAAATATCGAACATATCAAACTTGACAGTTTGCGAGTTTGACATTCCCTGAGCTTTGAACATTGAACATGAGTCATTATACATGCCACATGCTAGCAGTTTTCATCGTACTACCCTCAGCTACCTGTCACCTTCACTGTTTTCTACCCGTCTCCACTCAAGCGTCCTTGAAAGGATTTCTTTGTCATGTTTCATCTCGCGTTCGTTTCGTGCGTGAACCAAGCCTCGAGGTAGTTTTGAGGGGGAGCATGCACATAATATTCTTGTTGCACAGTCATCATCGTGCTGCTCCGGCACCAACACTTTTAAACTTTGAAGCCCGGTAAGACCAAACCGTCGCCAGCCGGAACTGTTCAGGCTCATGGGTTTTTAGGAGGGCGCTGGCTGGAAGATTCTAAGAAGGCGCTTCGCCGTGGCCAGCGAGACCTTCGGCGAGGCAGGGTCTAGGGTAGGGTTGTCTGGCTGTGGAGCAAGACGGCAGGATCAGGTAAAACTTGACAATTTCGGTCGTTGTTTTTTTTTGAACGGTATCAAACATTCTGGCCTCTTCTGCTTTCGTGCTGCAGCCTGGGACCTAAGCCGCAAGCAGAAAATGCCTCGAAAGGGCGCAGAGATACCCCCACAGAGACTCCAAGGTTGAAAGCCCAAAGCCTAACCCTCTTTGGGTCATGATTTTGGCAAGCCCAACAAACCCTCTGGCCTTCTAAAGGCCACAAACGTGTAGACCGCAAGGCCTTCATCAACTCGACAAGTCCTGCAGCCCTGAGCCTGACTGAAACCCGAAAGCTCAAGCCTCAAGCTCGCCAACCCCGAAGTCCAGAAACGACCCGACACGAAAGGCTCCCTCCCAAGACCTTACATCCTACCTAGACAGATCGAAGAAGGCATCAATCACAACAAAACCTCGCTTGGCTAGTCTTTCCGTGGCGTGAGACCGGAAAGTGACATGCAAAAATGCACCGAAGGCCCAAGAGCTTTCCTTGGCCGTGCATGCGGCAGTGCCATCCCCAGCGAGCCCCGAGAAGGCTTGGAGTAAGAATCGGCGCTTGGGTTTTGGTTTAAAGGCTTCGAGTTTTGAGGTTCCCTCCTGCTTCCATCGTTCTGGAACAACTGTACGGCATTCTGCGTGTGGGGGAGTGTATGATGTATGAACTACGGCTACCAGCATCACGAGATACGAGCCGCTTCTCCTCGTGGGTTGGTGAGATCTTTGGCTCAGGCAACATACTGATTCGGGTCTTGATGGGAAGTCAGGGACATGCTTTCATGCTGGAGGTGTTGACATCTGACGCACGTTGTCTTGTCAGTACATGTGCTAGGGTTGGACTCGCCCAAGGAACGCAGCTATGACTCCGCTGAGCTCGTGATGAGCACATGTTGTTCTTTTATCTCCCGAAACCTCGTGTGACGTTGTCGAGTGCGAGTGGTCGAAAACTCTTGGTTTTCGGATCTAGGGCTAAGATGATAGCAGGGCAGAGTGTGCAGGCAGTGCTATGCATGGGCTGAACTCGCAAGGTTTTGCTGCCGAGGGCCTTTGACAAGTGGCCTGGGAACAGCTGTGCAGACCCACTTCAAAACAGAGGGTGTCATATGACTTGCCATTTTTGCTTGGAGCCCCCCAAAATGGCACCAAAACCTGCGTGCTTTGCCACAGGCCTGCCTTCTTCACTGCCCATCTCATTGGGGCTCCGACCACCGGTATGAGGCAGGCTGTGGGCCTTGAGGGACAGCGGTCATGCCTTGACTTTCGGACATCCTTTGGGGCAGGGAGGTCTGCCCGAAGCCGCAGCCCAGCCTCATGCCCCGAATCTCCCCGAGCCCGAACTATAGTAACTGCACCCGACCAAACTAAAGTGCAGCGTGGAGTCGAATTCTAAGCCGCAGCCCCATGAGGTTTACAGCCTCGACACATCGAATCCCGACTCCTTCCCGGCTCTGGAGCCACTCTTTGTTTCGTCGGCCTCAAAGGCACGCGAGATGACGGCAACAAGTAAACAAAGCAATAATAATTCAGGCATACACAGGCCACGTCAGACAATGTTTTTTTGTCAAGCTTGAGGCTACGAGCACCATGTCTTGAAGCAAAGCAACTTAGGACGACCCCTCCATCTCTCTCTCTCTCTCTGTCCCTCCCTCCCCTCTCTCCGTGGGTGCAGTAATTTTCGTGTCAAGCTTGAGGCTGCGAATGTGATGATCTGAAGCAAAGCAACGTAGGACAACCCCTCTCTATCCCTCTCTCTTTCTCTCCCCCTCCCTCTCCGGATGCGGCCCTGAACAGTGCAAGATACAGTGTACTATATGGCAGGCACAACAAGCTGATGTAATATGAAGCAAATTAAGGATGTTTGGATCATGCACACATGCATACAAGCACCTATACCGCTACTATTCCAGATATACAAGGCCATCCGTAGTAGGGAAGCTGACCTGGATTCTTCTGAAGGTGGGAGTCAAAGTCCCATATTCTCGAAACAACCACTCTTGTAAACGAACGCAGGATAGTTGGGGCTGTATGACGACCACTATCACAGAAGCAGGCGGAGAAGGAAAAGCTGGTGGAGGCGGGCATCGCGCAAATTGCGCCCAAGCAACGGCATGGGTTCAGCCTCGCATCTTTGGCTTTGTTGGGGGCTTTGGGGTGTTTGTGTGGGTATTCGGATGTTGACCGTTCAGCAGTCGAGGCTGGCCGGGCGTAGTGCTGCGGACTAGCAATTCCGGGTTCACGCTGAGGCGACGAATGGCAGAGGTGAAGGCTTTTAGCGAAGCAAGCTCTACGGCTCTGTTCACATTATGTGATTGTAAACACAACGCAGAACGTGTGACCAGGGCACTTCTTGCAGTTACGGTAGGGGTAGTACGGTTACGGTAGGGGTAGTACGGGGGGGGGGGGGGTAGTGTCGTTGTTGTGGGCTTCGCACCCCAAAACGTCCCGAAGCATCCTGCAAACCGGCATCGCAGCCGAGGCACCGTACGACTGTAGCACCCTGGCAAAGTTGTTTGGTTTGTCGGGGAGCTTTGTCATCGCGTGACTCAGTCTGGTGTGATCCGCTTGGCAGCAGAACCGGAAAAGCCTTCCAACAAGACTGCCCTGAAACAACCAGAACCATGCGAGACCCTCAAGTCGACTGCAATTTCAGATGATGCACCTCTCGGCCTGTTGCATTACCCTGGATTTTTTTCGCAGCTGGGCCTCTGGGCCACTCCTTACACAAGGTCTCTACTTCCTCTGTGGCCTGCAGCACTTCCCTGGTGATGTCACGGGCTCGTTCGTCTACTGCTTCAGACCCTTGGTATGCAGGTGCACTATCACTGACAGTCCGGATAAGAGATGTTTACTTCTTTGTGCTACCCTCCTTGGTTCGCAACATGAGTTCCCCTTTTGGCGTACCCACCTCCCTCCAAATGTCATGATGTAATACCCAGCCCTGCAACTTGTGTTTCCGGGTTGGTCCCGTTGGGAAGTGCTGGGAGGCCATCAGTAGGGCTTTGGTGGCAGGCTCAGACTAACCTGCCCTTTCCAAACAAGAAAGCCCGCCCTGTATTTCTTTTGCCATGTACTGACTTGGCGCAAACTGTGAGCTTAGAGCCCACAGCTCAAAGGTACCCTCGATGTTTCTTAAACCGTGTGAGTTGCCCGAGTTAATCTTGGAGTCTTCTATTTTAGGGTTTGTGGTGTGTGGCTTCCCCAATGTCAAAGACCCATCTCAACTCTTTCCGACATTGCGCGGCACTACATCAGGTTTCTGGACATGATGCCAGTTAAGCTTTCAGAATATGGGATGCCCAAACAAGCAAGTCTTTCAAGGTTTGGAGGAACGTGAGTGGACGGAAGTGGAGCCACTCGGCATGGACCAGCTTCTCCTGACTTCGGAGACAAAGTTAGTGGTGTGTGCTCAGCGAAGCTCGCATCTTCAGCTTCAAAGATTCGGAGCTTCCGCGAAGCTAGGCAGCTAGACTCTTCAGAGACTTCGGGGAGGCTCGAGTCTTCAGAAGCTCCAGAGCTTTTAGCGCGAATCGAGTGGGCTGGAACCTCACGCTTTCGACTGCTGGGCTTCATATGGCGTGAGGCTCTTTCGGCCGACGAGGGCTGGGGATTTGTCGTGTGGTTTCTGGGAAGCCTGCGCGTAGCAGGAGCTGAGTTTCGGAAGCTGGGGAGTGGCGAAACATTGGATGTTGAGTTGGGCGTCCCTGGCGGATCCGGCCGGTGCCCAACTGGCGAGAAAGCAGGGAAGACACTGTGTGCATAAGAACGATGCTGAGCATTTAACCCGCGCTGCCCGGCGACCCTGAAGCCATTTACCTTGTCAGGACCGATTCCCTTGACCCTGAACAGTGTTACCAGACCTTGAGCGAATCTCACATCCTTTCGCACCGCGCCCTCAAAAGCCTTCTTAGACAAGCGAGGTATACTGGCACCTTCCCAGCGACGAAGCCGGGAGTGTCCTACCAGGGCTGTCGATTTGGCCGGACACCCGGGACATGGTCTGCCAGTTTCGACTGAACCGATGGATGAACATGTGCCTGTGAAGGATGCGCAGTCGCCGACAATGAAAGAAAATCAGGCACATGTGTATTACACGCAACGCTTTCACTCCCTCTCCGTCTCCTTATTGAACCCTAATTCCGAAACTGCAACGAAAGCATCCGAGGCCAGAGCTGCGTGGTGCAGGGGCACAGAGCTTGGATCTTTGGTGGGTGTGTGAGCAACGAGGCCACCCGGCGACGTTGGAAGCTAGCCGGATGTGGGGGCTGAGTTTCAGGGGCCATTGCAACTGGGTGTCAGGGACTCCAACACCGAGCTTCCTGGGTTTGTAGCCTGAAAGCTTAGCTTTGGCGAGTCCGAGTTGTGAAAGCTTAAGTTTGGGGTTGATCTTGGCACCAGATGCAGACTCCCCCTCCCCTCGCTCCTTTCCCCGCCCATGCCCGCTGTCCGGGAGCATGGCAGCCAAAGAGGCTGAGGAAGAACACCAACGTCCACTGTGCCCATGAATTTTCCGATGGGCCGGAACTGAACATCCTTTCTGGGAAACTGGATGCAAAAGTAGGGTGAGGTGGTGGCCGCCTCACCTAGAGGAGCCGCCACAATGTGCCCACAGCCCAAGACTATCCAAGGAACCAAATGACAACCCACACTGCGCACCCAAATCTTGCTTCAAGCTTCTCCACATTCATTCTGCGCCCATTTGCAGGTAAAATCATAAATGGATGTAGTTTCAATTTTGGTTTCCGACATTCATTTCTACACTTCCAACATCCGTCTCCGCAATACGAGGCTAGGGTTTAGAGTTGAGGATTGGTGCAGCGGTTTGCGGAATACCACCATGCTGAACAGACGCAAGCACAAGACAACGTGGATTAGACCACTATCCAACATTTCGTGCAGATGGCTCGGCTTGAGAAGAGATCATCTTGAGATTGGCTTCCAAGCTGACCAGGGTCACATGGCAAAATCATGCAAATCCTGGTAGCAAAACCTGCAACGAACTAGAGCCCCCTACGAAAATGTAGATCAGGCCGGTGGCGTGCAGCCAACCAGTGGCCTTTTTTCCTTCGATCTCGAGGCGGCAGTGCGATTTTGGGATAGAGCAGAGGCTTCAACTTTAGGGGCTAGGATGGATTGAGGTGCAGGTTGAAACAGGACGCGTTTCAGGTTGTCGCTTAGGGTTCGGTTTGGGGTTCTTACTGGGGTTCTGTGGATTCTTGACGAAGGACATGGGGCTTGCCAAAACACAACTCGTCAGGATTGTGAGAGTTGCTCGAAACTGTTGGCGTGGGGGTGCGGTCCACAGGGCAAGTCCAAAAGTGCTGCGATATACGGACCTTACTGTAGGCTTCCGGCACTGTGCCAGTGACAATTAGGGCTTGAGCCTTCGGGTTGTTCTTGCCAAGGTGCGGTTTTCACATCTGCATTCCGCAATGATGATGCCGCATGTAGAGCGGGTCTTCGCCGTGCAGGAGCATCACTTTGAGGAGATTGCGGCGGCATCGCCCAGCAACTGGCCTCCTGCAGCAGAGCAGCAGAAAGGGGGCCAAAATGCTGTCACAAACGTGCACGCATGAAAAGAAGAAGTTCTTGTCTTGCAAAAAGATTGGGTTTCGTCCAGGCATTAACAGCCCATTCATCAGTGGCATTTGACGGCAAAGTCTTCGTCTTCGGCGGTGGTGACGGCGCACAAGACGTGTACTGCTGCCCGGCTGAAACGAGGCACATCATCTGCATCGGTGTCAGCATATGCCTTATTATCCTTGGAGGGTTGCATTTATCGGCCCAGACGGTTCTAGCTGCAGTCTACTACTGTTTCTTCGGCAACTTTCACTCTCGTCATTGTCTTTCTCACAACATTCCGGCCAAGTACGACCAATCGGAGGTGACAAGCGGCCTCCAAAATACAGCACTTCTAAGTACGATGAAGTAAGAACTTTCACAGTAGCCAAGAGCGGCGGATAACAGTCTCAAGACTCACTGCCCTCAGCCCGCAAATTTTCTGAGCGAAGGTTACGACGTCGGAAAGCCTCTTGTCTGGGAGAGGTTGGTAGTTAGGACTGTTACTCAAGCGTTTGCTTCCGGGGAGGCACGATGCGAAGCAATTTTTCTCCAGACTCCCGGTTTTGCATGAGTGGTCTGGGCTTTACCCTGGCTTTGGTGGTGCCAGAGGCCTAGTCACCTAGTCAGAGTGCTGGGATATTGCCTTGTGCTTAAACGCGAGGGCTGTCATGGTCCGAAAGAGGTCTAGCTGGGCACTGCTGCCACCGCTCCTCCTTGGGCCCCGACCTTGCGACGGCCGAGTCGCGCACGCCGTGGCGGACGGTTATGTGCCGTGGCTTGGGGCTTCGGCTTCCAGTGGACACCTAAACCTGACTTTGTGTCTTTCGTTATATACACAAAAATTCAAGCTCGCATGTTGCGCCCGCAAGTCCCAACACCTAAGTCGCAGCCTTGCCCGGGGGCCTCGTTTCGAGGCACCCAAGGCCCTACTATCTCAGCCATGGTCCTCTTTTTTTCACTCTTCCAGTACTGTAATGGCATTTAGGGGTGAAGGGTGGAAGGTGATATAATATACTTTATATAATATTGTATTTTATAATACATTATAACACATTATAATACATGATAGGGTTTTCGGGCCCGGCAAGCTGACCTCCAGGTAGTGGCCTACCAGCAGACCGAGGCCGGATTGGAGGTCTGAGGCATTGATGCTCTTCATTCCAAGAGAGAGCCTCTTTAAGTTGTGTTTCTGTGTGTAAAGACACAGCATGATTCTCAACATGTCCAAGACTTTCCCTTCTCAAGTCGTGTAAACTAGTAAACTAGGTCTGCCCAATCAGGTGCATATTTCTTGCTGCTGCAGCTGCCGTCGGAGTTGGAGTCGTCGTCTCTGTTGTTGCCTGTATTGTTTCGACTGCTACTGTTTGCGTTCTCACCATGGGAGGCTTCATAACTGTGCAGGCCCACACATTGTTGTGTTCTTAAGCTTCTCCTGTGCAGCGCAGGGCTCAGACCCGGCATCCGAAGAGCCAAACGTGGCACACAGCTCCTTAGCTGATCTCGAAGCCTTCAAAGCTCCTCGAGTTGAAGCTCGGCCTTGATCTGCCAAACCTTTGATCAGAGGGACCCTAGAGTCCTAGTCGTGAAGCCCAGAATTCGAGTCGCTGCCCAACCCAGGCCTTTTTCGCATCACCCGTGAGCAGCTGAGCCGGAGGGCAGAGACAAGTGCCCGTGACTTCCGAGACCACAAGCCCGAGGGGATGAGTGAGCTGCTGGGCGCGGCAATCCAAGGTTTTGAATGGCTCTCCCAGCATCCCAGCGCCCCGTCCTCTCCCTGCAGTTTGTTATGTGCTGTTCGGCACGTGCAGCGGGAGGGTGGCCAGATGCCCGAGCACGCAGGCGAACGGCTCCGACTTATGTTATTGCCGTGGGTTTCATGTCAGGCTAGCCCCATAGGATCCCAGGGTGGGAGTCCGTTTCAATAAGATGTGGGCATGTCGTGTCATGGTTAGATCGAGATACGAGTCTCAATAGGAGACTTTGCTGAGCCCGGATTCTTCAAGCCATGGCCGCGGACACCGCTGAAGGCCTTCTTGCGGAAATTGAGAGCACGAAGGAGCAAGTTCAAGCGGCCGAGGTCAGGAACCAAGAGCTCTGTGTGCTGACCCGTGAGGCAGAAAAGCGACAGAGGCTGAGGCGCGAGCTGGACGTTCAGAGGACCATCTTAGCAAACAGGCAACGCCTGAATGCCTTGGAATCACTCTATCGCCATGAAGTTGATCGTGATGAAGATGGGCCTCACTGTCTCACGGCAGGGCCGCGCAGTCAAGCTGTCGCCTCCAAAGAGCACCCACAAGACGCCAGTGGTGGAGAACGTACAAACTGTGCGCACAAGGTCGCCAAGGGTGAGTATGTTTGGCAGATCGACAGCTTTTCATGGTCTCGGCTGCGTTTGCGGCAGTCTGGCCTGTTTTGTGTAGTGTCCAAGCTCTTCAAGGTCGGTGGTTACGAGTTTCAATTCGTGTACCAACCAGATGGAGGCATCGTGAACTGCACCTTGTCGCAACGAGGATCCCTCGCCATCATCTTCTGGGGCTCGGATCCAATTGTCCTGCGCTACCGGATTTATATCAAGGCGCGAAGTGGAGAGTTCGTGCAGTGGGGAGAGCTTCGCGAGGAACTGCACGATGTGGATGACGGGCCTCCAACAGCATACGGCCCGGATGTGCATGAGGCAGAAAACGCCCCTGCGTCTCTTGGCATCTTTGGTCTGACACACCAGCAGCTGCTACAGTCAACGTGGGTCGACAAGGACACGTTGACGGCAAAGTTCGTACTGGAAGTCCACCCAGTGGGAACGTTCGAGACACAGCCTCTGCTCACAAATGTGGAGGTACCAGGGTCAACCCTGCATCAGGACACACAAGCCTTGTGGGAGAAAGGAACCGGCAGTGACGTACAGTTCATGGTGCAGGGTGTGACCCTCCAGGCTCATTCACATATCCTTTCTGCACGCTCTCATGTTTTCGAGAAGCAGCTGGCTAGTGGCATGCAGGAATCTGCCTCAAGGGTGGTTGTGATCGAAGACTCCGACCCCGACACCTTCAAGTGCCTTCTGCAGTTCCTGTACACAGACAGCTTGAAAGGCATTGAGGACTTGATGGCCAAGACTGGCGGCAAGAACGAAATGGGCAACCCGCGACTGTCTCAAACACAGGCGCTGCTTGCTGTAAGCCACAAGTACGAGGTGACACGTCTTCAGAGGTGGTGTGAGATGCGACTTTGCGAGCACCTTTGCACTTCCGAGGTTTGCAACATACTCTCTCAGGCGCACCTGCTCGAAGCCGCGCAGCTCGAGAAGGCCTGCTTGGTTTACATAAAAGACCACATACAAGAGGTGCTCAAGTCGCCGGCCTACATCGAATTGCTGAAATCTTGGCCTCAGATCGGCTTGAAAGTCAGCCTCTTCGCGGCAGGCGTGCCAGAAGCAGAGGCAGCAGAAGCCATCAATGGCTTCAAAGGTTCTGCGACGGCCGGTAAGCGCAAGCGCGCGGAGGAAGAGTAGGTGCAAGAAGGTAATTATTCACTTCCGATGCACCGCTGCTGGATGTTGTGTGGCAGCTTGAGGGATCAAATTCATGATGGAACGACCGAGGGGTGCTAGCTAGCACTGCGGAGCGGGAAAAATGCGAGTGGCAAAGCGAACCATCGTGTAATATCTAGCTGCTAGCTGGAGCTAGCCTGCAGTCCACCTCACGCGGCAGAGAGGTACGAGATCTGCCTGAGTCTAAGAGGCCCTGAAGTCACCAAGCCAATCCAAGCCATAGGCCCAAACCTCCAAGTGTCTTAAGCCGAAACGCTAAGCCCTGTTAAGGCCAAAACCTGCCTCCCCTAAAGTGCCACACAGAGTCAAGGCTCGACTTTCTCCTGGATGAGGCGACTGCTGACGCAGCCTTTCTCATCGATGATACGTGCCGGGCTGAACTGTGGTGTCCAGGGTGTAGGGGTTTGTCGGTTTAGGTTCATGACGTAGTGTTTGGAACGAAGATGTTCGGATCTCAGCAGCTTTTCGTCGGAGCGAATTCGGGAGCTCTTTGCCTTCGTTTTTTACCCATGGCTTTACTCTGGGCCTGCGTTTACGAACGATCGATGACTTGCGAGACGACGCACGGTAGATGGTTTCCTGGGTCTTCCGGCAGGTCATGGGGCAGTTCAGGGGTGCAGTGCCAGACCTACACTAAAAACAAGATCTTGGGTAGTTGGAGACTCCACGAAGCCGTGAAATCCTTTCAGGAAACTTCCCGTTCACCGCGCCGTGCTGCGTCGCTTCGCGCCCGCGCTGGCGAAGGTGGTGGCAGAAAAGCCCGTTGTGGCACTGAGCCGCTGCTCAAGATCTCGAGTTGTTCAGGTCTGAGGCGAGAATCCGAAAGGTGATCGCGTGTGCTGCTAAACAACTATGACATGACTACTGCGTCCTTATGTCGATCTCCCTCGGGCCCCAGAGTCTTGGTACCCGTGAGGCCTGTAAGTAATTGCTGTAAACTCGTGAGTTTCCCTTAGGTTGCATCAGGCTCAAAGTCAGCGTCGTGGGTGCTTGTCTAGGGTTTCCGTCGTGTGAGGGTATGAGCAGGGTTAGACTTCAAAGCTCAACGCTGGCATGGTTCTTGCGATAGCAAGCTAAGCATCGCAGCAGGCAGTATGTAAACTGAAAGCCACACCGAAACGAGCCTCCAGGCTTACCGTGACACCAGTCGCCAAGCTACTGGTTTGAACCCATGCTGGGAAAGCATGACGGCAGTGTAGTAGCACGAAGAGCAAAGGCAGCTGCAACATGCTAGCGGGCCACTAGCCTACCCGCAGCAATGATGCCTTGTGGCATGAAGAAGGTCAAGGCAATAATGCCGGCAGGTTGTGTAGCAAGAGAATCGTGGCTAGAATCGAACATGGCAGCACGGCCCTTTGTAGAATGTCTTGGTGGCCTCCCCCACGGCACCCGCGACTTCATTCATTCAACACTTGCGAGCTGCACTCAGGAATGGAAAGGGCGTGACCATTCCAGCAGTGCCCCTCGGCCTTCTTGCCACCCAAGGTTGGGCAACTGTTCTGTCGGTTGGCTGGTCGACTCGTGGAATCTTCCTGACTGTTGCTTGCCTGCTGCGCACAGCGTCGACTTCGTTGCTGCTGATTCCATGGAGCAAATTTGCTAGCTGCTGGGGGCAAGTCCTCGTAATCGTCACGTCGTCATCGTCGTCGTCGTGGTCGTCGTGTTGGTGGTGGTTCGTCGTCGTTGTCGTCGTTGCTATCCTACGGGGGTAGAGTGTCACAGAGCTCGGGGCGTTGCTCGGAGTTCGTTCAGCAAGACGTGCGGAAGACCCAAGTCAATGAGGCAGCATCTGCTTCAGCATGCTGCTTGGGAGCAATTCAGACCCTCGTTTTTCTTGCTTTCTGCCGTAATCCACGGACAAGCTGACTCAGAACCATAGACCCCGGGCCTCACTTCAGGTCTACTCCCGCTACATGGACCCTGTCAGCCCCGCGGAGGTGCCGATGTTCATGCTGGCATGACATGGGTCTTTTACCAGTGGCCGGCTGTGGCTTAGTGGTAGGTCGTTGACGCCGAGTTCAGACAGACTTGTTGAGGGTTGGGACATTATCGACTGAATGTTGCAATCCGGGATGTCTCGGTGCAGCTGCTATCCGAGGCTTTTTCTCATGGCAATAAAAGGCAAGACCTCCAAACTTGTCCGCTGCAGATGCTATTCTTGACTTGCCAGGCGGAAATGCTTCTGAAATTGGCACATCACTTCCAGCTGATGCCACTGGTGCAGCTTTGTCAGGAGAACATAGCAGCTGGCTTGAATAATCAACTGTCCCAGCTCTCGAAGTCGCCAGGGCCGTTGAGGGTGGAAAGGATGTGAATTGGGTGTAGGGGCTCGGCCTAACATTGAGTCCTGCATGAAATTGCGTGAGCGTGGCCACCGGTTGTGGTTTTCTGTCTCTATTTCTGGCAACTGCTCGGAGCATGGCCCGTCATACGTGGGCACTCACTGCTTAATCGTTGTGCTCGCTGTCGTCCGAATGGTGGCGACAGTCGTAGTCGTGGTGTGAGTGCAGGATTAGCGGTCGTGGTTGAGTGCAGTAGCAGTAGGAGCAGGAGCAGGAGTTGGAGTTGGAGTTGGAGTAGGAGTAGGAGTAGGAGTAGGAGTAGTAGGAGAGTAGTAGTAGTAGTCGTCGTCGTCGTCGTCGTAGCAGTAGTAGTAGTGGTCGTCGTCGTCGTCGTGGTAGTAGTAGTGGCAGCAGCAATAGTAGTAGTAGTAGTAGTAGTAGTAGCAGT